TCTCCTGTGTGTTTGGCCCCAGAGGAGCTCGCAGGCTACTCTGTGACTGAATCCTCCTTGGATAGGAATTCCTTCGACGTACAAGCAGAATGTATCTGGTCATGTCTGGTCGTTTGCTTTTTTCTTGAGGCAGGAGGTTAATTTACAATCTTCACCCCCCATGAATACCCCTTGATTAATTTACTAATGATATATAGGTCGGTTTTACATCGGCATTCATGTCACTTCGGTTGGCCTCTTGCTCTAAGGCTCCTCAGGGTACACCGGCACAGCGTCTGTGGAGGTGTGCACTTCAGCTCTTACTGCCTACACACTGAGGGGATGCGATCGTATAGCCGCGTGCTTTGCTCCAAGAGATGTGGACGGCTATGTCCTAACAGAAACATCCATGGCCATAGACTCCTTCAATGTTCAGGCCAAATGCGCCTTGGCAGGAGGAGGGCACATTGTTTTCTTGTTGCGAAGATAAGATGCGCATAATTATGTGTTTTTCTTGTGCCGAGCTTTCTCCCTTCTGCATTCTCTCCCGCTTTAAGCCTGTGATAGTGTGGTTATGAACGAGATGGAAATTACATGGAGAGCAGGTGCTAAAGCCGCATTCAATGTGCGTCTACCCACAGGTTCCGGTCGCCAGTTACTGCCTCTTGAGGAAAAGAGTCGCCAGTTACAAAAGTTAAACAAGTCCACAAATCCTTTTCATAACTAGTAGCTTCTTGTTACTAGTAGCGATGGCCTCTAACCTACTTGCGATGGCCTCCACCTAGTAGCTTCTTGCTACCAAAACATATAGAACGACGTACGACATGGATATGGAAAAAGTACGCGGGATGAATGGATGAACGACAAGGTCTCAAGTTGGTGAGGTTTGCAACTCGGAGCGAACCTGGACCCCCTGGAGATGTATTTGAGGCCGCCAGCTCTAAATGTCGTGGAAGGCTTCCAAGATCTTGAAGATCTGCCAGAGAATCGAGCTGGACTTTGGCCGATTCAGAAACCAAGCGAGTCCCGATTCAAAAACCAAAGCAGCCGATTCAGAAACCAAAACAGCCGCTTCAGCAACTACGATTCAGAAACCAACAGGGGCGTGGGAACCATGGCCAAGATAATAACGTTCGATGTGGCAAACGGAAGGTCACAGCACCGTCTCAACCGAGCCCCGCCCGACCTGGGGAAAAGGCGTTACGAAGAGAGATTCTGGCGTTGCTCTGAGAAGTGAATGTGCATCGGTGATTGGGTCATCAGTTTTTCCCTTTTTGAACTAAATATTGGTTACAGATGAACAATTGAGCTTTGGTTATACCGAATCATAGTTACCGAATCATACCTTGTGCTTACCGAATCAGACGTCGACCATGGAGCTGTCAACTCTTTCAAAGTGAAAACTTTACTAAACATAAAGCAAACAAATTCAACGCATATGAGGAGGAATCGCAAGAATCAGGCCAAACAGAGCGTGGAAGAAACATAATTTAGGAGGATCTGAATTTCCACAGCAGCATGCAGCATGAAGCAGCATGTCACCATGGGCGCACTGCATCTAGCCTTGTACTGCGCACCGTTTCGGCCCTGGAGGGCGCCCTTTAGCCAAAGGACAAGAGCCGCATTGCCAGCGCGCCGCCGGTGCGTTTTTGATGGTAAGCGGAGCTCCCTGTCCAGGGGGGCGACGCTTGCGGCGCCTGTGAGCATGCCGTTCTCGCGCCCCACTCCGCCTTGCCCGCTTCAGCCCTATAACCCGCTGGCGGCATCCACGAAGTTCCCGAAAGGTTGAGCTTGGACTACGATGTCTTCTACCTCTGCCACCAAGCAGCTGCAGACAGATCGGTACGGAGTACCGCAGTTTGCTGCAAAAGTCGAATTGGTCGGAGCTTGGGACCTTTACTATGGTCGAGATGGATAAGATGCTCTACAAGCCTCCACGCCCTTGCACCTCCTACCCCAGCTGAGCGACGCAGCCTACGAAGCTGAAGCTGTGCGGAAGCTCGACCACACCAAGCCTCGCACCAAGACTTCCGAAGGGAAGCCAACCGAAGAAGGCATGAAGCTCCTGATCAAGACACTTCGTGACAGTCTTGCTCAGGAAGCTCCGGTCCGTGTCAACGAGCTGTTCCTCGACTACTTCTACAGTGGTCAGTCTTGGAGCAAGCCCAATGAGACGATGGCTCAACGCATCGTCCGACGCGAGACCACCTTCGTCTGGTTGAAGGAGGCAAGCCCTGAGACCGCTCTCTCCGACAACCTCAAGTGCATGCTGCTCCTGATCTTCTCTGGTTTGGAGCCGAGCATCCTCGCCAGCGTCGGCGACGAGTATGACTACAAGAAGGTCAGCCATGTGCGGGTTCAGTTCCCGACCAGCCTGTCGTTCGCAAGGACTACCTGCGCGCTGGCCGCGGCGGTCAGCAGCTCCACGGAAGCTCGATGGAAGCAGTTTCCTCAACGCCAGAAGCAAGTCTTGGCGGCTGAGATCGACGATGAGTTTCATACTGGGAAGATGATGACTATGCCCAGGAGGATGACGCCTACCTTGGCAATATCAACGATGAGAGCTTCGTCAACAAAACTCTGATGGTGAAGCCCTTGACTCCTCAACGAGATCGCAGAGGACCTTGAAGGCTCAGAAGTGGCTGAGGCCTATGCCACGATTGCTCAACACCGCGGCGGATTCAAGAAGAAGTTCGTCAAGCAACTGCAAGAGAGCTCTTCATCCCAGAGTTTTCCCTTCAAGGCGCGCCAAGGATCAGCGCAAGGCCACCGTCAACTTCCTCAAGGGTATGACACAGTGCGCTGCCTGTGGCCAGCGAGGTCACTGGATTGGAGACAGCGACTGCCCTCGCAGTGGAAAGAAGGGAAAGGAAGAATCCTGAAAGGGAAAGGGAAGTCAGTCTTCATCCTCGTCACCAAAGAAGGCAGCTTCACCGCCCAAGAAGAGCAGCTCCTCCTACTTTGTCTTGCGCAAGCGTATTGAGTCTGCTGACGAAGAGAGGCCAAGACCTTTGCGACACAGAATGCCACGCCCTCGGCAGAGACCTCTCTTTGACGGACCTGCCAACTGGATGCCCATGGACAGTTTGTCACCGAAGAGCAAGACCTTTGAGGTACTGATGAACCTTCGCAGCCCGAAGGTCTGTGAACATGCTGTTTGTCACGGTGGGAAAGAACGCGCCTACCACCCGAGCACCAATGGCCACAGTCGTTAGATCACCTGCAAGCAGTGTGAGACCACTGCGATCCAGGCTAGCCGGCTAGCCGTAACGATGCTGCGCAGCTTTGGGGCTACTTGGTTCAAGTTCACCACCGGTTGCCGCTGGACCATATCCTGCATTGAGAGGATCACCTTCTTCGCCTACCTCATCTTCTACGCCTGAGAAGCCGCGTGGTGATGAATGGGGTCTACTCTCTCAAGCCGGATCAAGCAACTCGAAGCCAATGGTTGCCAAGAGTCTGTGCGCGTTGCCACTGCAAACTTGGCTACGGGATCTGTTTGTTCCCTGAGAAGGTCACTCCTTCGGTCTCCGAACTGGCCAAGGACTTTTATCGAAGTGTCTTCGCTGCCCGAGTTCAGCTGGTTTTGCGCAACAGCCATCACGCATGCCTTGCAGAACGAGCTGGTCTATTGGTTTGCCTTCTACATGCACTGCAACGTCCAGTTGATCTACCAAGCGGGCACGCGTCTGATGAAATCCTGCAGCTCGACTGCCGATATGGCCAGAATACCCGGGCGGAGCACAAGTGCCATTGCGAGCGGATCCAAACGACCCATGCTGATACTCCTGCCAGATCCGCTTACTGTGATGTCATGATGGCTGAGCATGAGGATGAGGAGGACGACGCCGAGCGCTACTCCTCCACCTTTGCTTTCACCGCTCAGCAGAGACTGAGGGATCAACTCCAACGCTGATCTCAAGACCCTTCATGGCAGAGCTTGGCGCAGTGATGAGCTTCAAGAATGGCCCCGTCTCATTTGACGCACTCGCTTTGATCAGGGCTTCACGTGGACACATGGCCATCAGCCTCCTCAACTTCCAGGACAACGAAGAGTTCTTCAAGAAGTTCGCGCCCAACGAGGGGCAGCTCTGCACGTGCAGTGAACACCGCAGGAGCCATGTCCGCTGAGCCGAATAGCAATGAGCCCGTCAGCAATGAACGCACAAGTTCACCAACAAGAAAGGAAAGAAGATCCACAACGTGGACATGCTGGTCGCTTCCGATGACCTTGCAAAATCCCCCCGACTCAAGGGAGCTACTCCTCCTCGAGCGCGACGACGACCGCCGCCATGTGGCCGAGTTTGGTTGAGGCAGCTTTTTGCCGGACAAATGGGCCTCATCACACTCATGGCCACGCTTTTTTGGCATGATGGCTGGAGTCCCGTTGGACATCTCCATTGATCCAACTTGGGATGCGACAAGCTCCAAATTGATGAAGCGTGTGCATTCAGACATGCAGGCTGAGGACCCTTACTGCGCAGTTCTCACACGCCCGTGTGGCGCTTGTGGCAATTGATCCTGCTTCAACGTTGCCAAGGGTGGCGCAGCTCAGGCGACGGTTCTTTCTCTACAAGAGGAGTCACGACCCCTTCTCAAGATGGTCGCAAAGGTGAGTGTTGATCGCGTCAAGGCCCGCGACGTCTTTGTGGAGCAGCCCTTTGGTTCCGACAGCGTTGAGGAGCTGGAGATGAAACCTGTCCGCGGGCTCATCGCAAGCGGACGCCTCCTTGCTCTGAAGGTCGGTGGCTGCGTGGTCGGCTACAAAGACGCAGACATTGGAAAGCCCAGCAACAAGCCTTCCGTCTATGAGTCTATATCACACCAATGCTCTTGATTGACAGAATCAGTGTTCCAGCAATTGCAGATGCTCTTGCGCCGTCCCTCATCAACCACTTGAAGGTGCCAACTCTCGTGGCCCGCGAACTGCTCAGGCGGCCGAGTGGCCACAGGAATTGAATCGTTTGGTCATTGATTGCGCTTTGCAGCAGGCCAACATCGAGACCGATGTCTTCAAAGAGCCCTCATGGGCGCCCGAATTGGATCCGGTCTCAAAAAGAGTTGATCGCAGTCACCAAGTGCTGCCCCCATAGAGGGACAAGTGCTGCCATTCTCAATCTATCATTACCAGAGGAACGCAATGGAGATCCAGCTACGGATGCACTCATAGAGGCGAAACTTGGGACAGGGAAGCGCCATAAGTTTTGCTGGCCAAGCCGAGAACGGAGGTCGACTCTCCTTGCCCATTGACGGAGAGACCTGTGGAGTCCCTTGATTTTCAAGGATATGGCGACGATAATCCAATTTTGTTTTTGGGTACTTGACAAAAACCGTCTCTGGAGGCAGGCCGTTCTAATGGACGCTTTTTGAGTGGCGGGGCGTGGAATGAACATGACGGGATATGGCACGTCAAAAGTCATTTCGGTTCGTCGCAACTATTAGGCCTTTGATTCATTGACTGATGCCTGATTCGCCGTTGGACCAAGAGAAGACACAGAGTAGCGGGAAAGAAGGGAAGAAGGTCAAGATCCAGGGTGAGACAGAAACACCCACACACCCACACAGATATATAGTATATAGGGCAATATGACACGATAGGTATATATATATGATATATGGTATGTAAATATTTGTATATACGTACATAAGTGCACACCCACAGCAGGTTTCGCGAGACCACGCCCACGCGCGGCGAGCTTTCAGAGGATGTTGGAACAGGAATGAAGGAAGATGTCAATCCCAGCATTGGACTTGAGCAGGCTGGCGCAACCTGCGGCCAAAGCTGCTGGTCCATCAAAAACTGCAGGACTTTCTTCTTCTTTGCTGATTGCAAAAAATCAGTAATTGAAAGGAGTGAGGACTAGAGCAGCTAAACAGTTTTTGTTGTGTTTAAGGATGCTATTGGGTGACAAACATCAGTGTACATTTTGCACCATTGCTTTCTTGCTGTGGCTCCTTGTCAATTTTGCATCCGAACTTTCCGAAAGTGGTGGGTGTGTCAAGTTGGAGCAGTTGGGACCTGGCGGTGTTGTAGGCCTAAGGTCACGTATGGCAGAGGTTGAGGTAAGGAAAGCGAGGCCTGAGGACTCCGTCCGCGCTCAGTTAGTTTCCTTGAAATCGCAGAGCGAGGCAAAGCAGGACGCTGCCATCAAAGATGGTTGTTCAAGTGGCATCCTGATCGAAACCCTGTGTTTTGGTTGAACGACAGGGAGGCGATGTGGAAGGTATTACCCAGACTTTGTTTTGAAAGTCAACTGGGTTTTACAGGGTGAGGTTTTGAGCGAATGTCGAAAGACCAGGAAAATGCTGAAACAGCCACTTCCATCTTCCAGTTCATCCAGCAGGATGGGACACAAGGAAGCAGAACTATAGGTGGTGCTGAAATGAACATGACCGAAGGAGTCAGGCGTCGTCATGAATGGCTCCAAGTGGACGCCGGCCTCCGCAAGACCTTGAGAGACCTGCGTCTCCAGTTTGGTTCTCTGGAGGCAAAATGCCAAGAAAGAAGTGATCAGGGCAGCTGGTCTTATGAGCTGCGATGCATGTGGCGATTCAATCGTCCACGACCAGTTCGCCTACCAAACCAGTATGACCGTATGAGTTCAACCGACACCTTCTCCTGGACACGTTCTACGCCAAGGACATCACAGGTGCCACCTTGACGCCACTGGATTCCAAGCAGCTTCCTGCCTTGGAGAACTTCAGGCTCCACCATCTTCCACTGCAGCGCCTCGCCGTTTCACTACTTGCGGGAGTGCGCAGGTTTACCGCATTCACTCCAAGTTGACCGTGGCAAGGAGTTCACGGCTGTCTTCAGTGACTACCTTTAGGATCCCGCGGTCCCAGACAGCAAGGGGTCAAGATGAAAAAAATAAAAAACAACAACCTACTCAAAAACAACTCAGACCAGAAACTCAGATTCCAAAGCCACTCAAATGAGAGACTCAAATTGGACTCAGATTGGACTCAAATTGGACTCAGGTTGGACTCAAATTGGACTCAGATTGGACTCAAATTGGACTCAGATTGGCTCAAATTGTACTCAAACATGGTTTTTGAGTTGTTTTTGAGTTTTTTTGAGTTGTTTTTGAGTTTTTTGAGTTTTTTTTTGAGTTTTTTTGAGTTTGTTTTTGAGTTGTTTTTGAGTTTTTTTTGAGTTTTGTTGTTGAGTCTGTTTTGGATTTGAGTTCTTGAGTTGATTATTTTTTGATTATTTTTTGTTTTTATTTTTTTCAAAGATTTCAGCCCTGTCTGGGCACCACGTGATCCTAAGACTACCTGAAAGACTTTGGAGTTGAACAAGAAGTGATGCCACTTGAAGCTCCGTGGAAAGGTGGCAAGAGTGAACGCGCCGGAGGCCTCTGGAAGAGCTTGTGGGAGAAAGTCGTTTCTGATGGATGACGTGGCCACCTCACTGGTGAAGCAGACTCGAAAGTCTCCCAGGAGGACAAGCGGGTACTCGCCTATCCCATGGGTTCTTTTGGCGTTCTGAACTACGTCTTCCTGGATCACTACTAATAGCTCAACGTTTGGAGGTCACGGAGGCCGCTGAAAACCCATCATCAAGTCAAAGATGGCTCGCGCCCTGGCCATTCGTGAAAGTGCACGAGTTGCTCAGATCCGGATCGACACTGACGCCAGAGTTCGCCAAGCACTACAGACCAAGTCAACTCCAACACGACTATGTGTACTTCAACAGGATGCAGCCTCAACCTGGTCAACAACGCCAGTAGCGATGGTTTGGCCCTGCGCGCGTCATTGAAGTCGAGCTCAGAAATCCAAGACGACTTGAAGATGCTGATCCTGGCACTGAAGGTGGATCACCGCACTTCTACTGGATCCGTTTCGGCTCCAGCTCACTGGCGAGCAAACGCACTTTGCATCTGAAGATGAGCTACTTGCTGCCCACTGCGCCCCTCACTATGCAGTACAAGGAGACCGAGGGGCAAGGTCCTTCATCGATGCAGGGCGCGGCCATCAGGACACAGCGCTCCACTACCACCTCCTGCCAAGGATGACGATGAGCAAGGCCACCATGCAGAGATCGTCGCCGGAACCTCATTCAGTCCCAGCTCACTCTGCAAGCCAACAGTCATCACCACCGCGACCAGGAGCGCCAGATCAACTACCGCCAGTTCCGGAAGAACCGGATGATGATTTGGCAGAACTTGAGGAACCACAACAACAGGCTCCAGCACCACAACAACAGCTCCAGGCTCCACAGCCATTACCAAGACAGTTCAGCAGAACCAGGGCCACCTCCATCAGCAGCGATGACACCAAGAGCAGTCATCTCAGCAACGCCACGACCGTTGCAGACTGCACTCAGAAGGCCAGATCGCCTAGATGGACATGGCCCAATTCGTGTAAATCGCTCCGTCGACCACACTGGTCCATTGAGGAACCACCACCACCACCACCACGACAGGGCATCCTCCGTGGCATCGACGCCGCTGTGAAAGAAGGAAGATGGAAGCAGCTTGACGATGACTATACCACTGTGATAGTTGGTTGGAAGCTGATGATGAGTCGGAATATGAGGCCTACATGGTCAACCCCAACCCTCACGGCAACGCTGTCCGCTCTCAGCTGTGATGAGAGCATGCGAAGAGAGTGGGAGTCATGGAACAAGTTCCAAGCCGTTGAGGAGTTGACCGAGGAGGAGGTCAACAACTCCCAGCCGGCGCCAAGATCATCGGCGCTCGGTGGGTCCACGCCGGCAAGAACAGCAAGCCTCGCCTGATCGCCTACCACATGGTGAAGAAGACCGGCAAGACCAAGGAGCAAGTTGACAAAGAGTATCCCTCTGCAGCAAAATCAAGATGTGTTGTCCAAGGATGCCAAGAAGATGGACACGGCGTGCTGCCTTCAAACCATTGCCGCCATGAAGAGTTGGGCGATCGCTTCATTTGACGCAGCATATCTCCAGTCACAGTGCGTCTCAAGGCTCCTGATCTTGAGAGCAGCGAGGCCACTTCCACCAGGAGTACGACCAGGCACTTTGTTTAGCGCCAAGGGCAGCGTCTATGGAACCAAGGATGCTGGCAGAATCTCCTTCGAGACGCTCAAGCCGTGGGTTGGATTCAATGCAAGCTGGAGTAAAGCGATGTTTTTCCCCTATGACGAGGACAATGTGAACCTCGTCGGCATCATGGCAAGCCACGTGGACGACCTCATCGTTTGCGGTTCAGGTGAAAAGTATGAAGAACCCATGGGAAAGCTCCCTGTCGAACTCCACCTCAAGAAGAACGCCAAGAAGTTCCGTTTCTGCAGCAAGAACCGTGTCCAACGCGAGGGCTACAGCGTCTCCCTCGAACAGGTCGATGCCATTGAGGCCTTAGAGTATACCTCGACAAGCGTGTGGGATGGACTGCGCGGCAAACACGGCTCGGCTGGACAGCCAGGTCAACGTGAGCGTTGCCTCGCAAACTATATGGGTCACCCAAAGATCAAGGACGCGATCGCCCTGAACAAAGCAGCCAAACTTCCCAAGGACAGTTCAGATGCGCTTTGGTGCTTCATTAAATCCGATCTCAGTCTGGAAAACTGCATGGTCTTCGGCTGTGCAGATTCCTCCTTCGCCAACGCTGAGGGCATGAAGTCCCAGCGCGGCTATGTGACCGGCGTCACCACCAAAGACCTCACAGAGGGCAAGTCCGCTCCAGCCATGATCTTGGAGACCAACTCCAGCTCCATCAAGCGTGTGTGCAGGAGCACGCTAGCAGCTAAAGCAAATGGCTTCCTGGCTGGAGTGGAAGTCACCATCTCTGTCAACGCCCTCATCCGGGAGATCCTCGACCCCGGACTGCCACTTCGCACACAGGTTGCAGGGTTCAGCAACCGTAAGGTCCTGGCGTTCACACATGCAAAAAGCTTGGAGTCCACGCTGACCAAAGATGCTGGCCAGCTTGAAGCTCCTCACGGCCCAGATCCGCGAAGCCTTCCTAGGCCTCCCAGGAGAAAGCTCGAAAAGAAGAGCGCGGAAATTTCTGAGGACAGGTCTGAATTTCCACAGCAGCATGCAGCGTGAAGCAGCATGTCACAATGGGTGCGCTGCGTCCAGCCTTTTACCGCGCACCGTTTCGACCCTGGAAGGCGCCAGCGCGCCGCCGCTGTGTTTTTGAATGATGTTATGGGCGCTCTACATCACGGTTGGGTTTTGAGCTGCAAAGATGCCCATCAGCAGGGTACTCATGGGAGACGTGAGACCACATGAGAGCACGCCTGCGGCAAATTAGAAACCCAAGTAAACAAGTGAAAGGTGCTTGCCCAAAGCCCGTCCCACCTGTCACCACACACCTCCACCGTATTTGTGGAACCATAAAAGACCCTAAGAGAAACCGCAAGAGACCCAAAAGTCGTAACCCTGTTGGTTCGTCCAGGTGATGTAGGTTAAGGTCGTGAAAATATGTGCAAAGATGCTACGGTAACGTAGTAAGTCTTGATTAGTAAGGCTTGAACCACGCTTGCAATTTCATCGGAAACTGCAGTGGTTTTGCAGCAACTACACAGACATATAGGAGGACAACTTGGAGGACACAAGGTTAGACAACACACACACACAAACATGAAAACTTAGAAGAAAAACTGAAAACAGAAAGAACCATCTAACGACAAAACACGACAACAAGAGGGCGACACACTATGGGAATCCATAGGATTTTTTTTTTGAGGTGCCGCGGGTTATCATGGAACCGCTGTCGCTCGAGTTTGCAGCGCAGCTTTGCAATCCTACAGCTTGAGTGGCTGTCAAAAGCGGTAGAGATGCCGGGGCCCAAAGGGTCACAGAGTGGTGTCACAAGGGTCCACAAAATCGATGGTCGCTACGTGTCGGCGACAAACAAAAGGCCAGACTGATGCGTGTTGCTGTGTTTCTTTCCATTTTCGACATTCGATTCTGCCAAGAAGCGAAAGAAACCAAAGTTCCGAGAACCGTTTTCGCAAGCGATTCGATTGTGGTCTTGGCTCAAGTGGCGTTCCTCGTTCCACTCTCATTTCTGCTTCGTGGTTACGGCGAAGGCACCGGTTTCAAGGGTTTCCATAAAGTCAGAACAAGTCAACTTGATTTTTTGCTGCACCTTTGTCACTTTGCTTACCAATCTCCCATTTTTTTAAAGCGCCTCGTTGCGAGGAAATCTGTACTCAATGAAGCTGATCATTCTGGTCGTGCATCTCATCCTCACCTTGGGTGCCAAGTATCGGTCGATTCCTGATACCCACCTCGCTGCTGTGAACACGACAAAGGTTGAGTCAGACGTGGCAGAGACACAGGCAGCAGACGAAGAATCGGATTCAGATTCCGATGTTGCAACCGTGGACGAACAATCGGACGATGCCTCAGAACAGTCTGAGTCAGACTCCGTGTCCGATGCAAGTGACGCAAGCGAGACCGACTCTGGAGACGTTGACACGGATGCTCGGACAGTATCGACGTTGCTGAGATAATAATATGTTTTATACTAGTTTCTTGTTACTACTAGTAAGGCACTTGTTCCTAGAAGCGTGGCACTTGTTACTACTAGCTTATCAATATTTTATATGGACTATTCCATATCTATCTATACTCCTGTTGTGCGCCTGAGAATTTCAACTGTGCTTTGAGGATGCGAACATGCGCAATGTAAGCTTTCTGGAGATGAGCATGAAGGAGACACGTCGCTTGCCCAGGATCAGATGGGAGCAGAATTGCTAGGCAATTCCACATCGAGTCTTTGGAGCTTGTGTGTGCGAAACATCAGGGTTCAAAACTTTTCGTTGTGTTGGTGTTCTTGCGCAGATTAGTTTTTGTCAGACCTTCAGCCAAGGAATCCAAAACATTGTTGGGGTGGGCAACGTGCTAGTCAGGGATGATGTGAAAGAAGGTGTGTGGGTCCTCTTGATGAAGTTGAGCAAGAATCTTGCCAGAGAGAGATTGCACGACCGGATCAGTCTGAAGTTGGTCCTTTGCGGCTTCGTGTGCTCGGTGTCGCATCTCACCCATCGGAAAGAATTTGTTTCGCTTCGCTCGATTTCGCTTCACTTCGCCACGTGACACCCAGGAACGAATTCTGCCACAACAGTCCCAGGTGAGGAGACGAGCTAGAGAGAGAGAATCGAGAGAGAGAGAGAGGGAGAGTCGACTACAAATCGAACCCCCAAGGTGGACCGATGGAAAAGGTTTCAACGAAGACAAGATGTTGGACGAGAACCTTCCAAATCACAAGGCGGGGGCAAGCTGCCGCCAAGTCGAACCAAGAGCAAGTGGGACCAGTTTGTTGCTTAGTGTTCCGCGGAGCGACTTGGAAACCGAAAGCCCATGATGAATTGTCATAATTGTCTCAAGATCTTCTAGTCTCCGAGATTTGCTCCATTCACTTGTCTCCATTGAATGAAGTTGTCTCCATTCACTTTCATCTCTCTACAGACTGCTCTTTCGATTCTCCCTATGTTTTGCGCATGAGCTTCTTTGGGCTTGTCCCTGTGCGCGCCACCACTTTTTTTTTGCACAGATCCTTCCAGTGGGTTGCATCAAAAGGATTGAACATGAGCAAACCTTAGGTCTGAGGAAACAGCACAAGCTTCAAGCGATCGTCAAAGATAGACTGTGGCGGGCCAGTAACTGAATAGAAAGGTCAGAAGCAAGGTCAAGAGATTGGATATTGACAATGACTCTTAGAATTTACAGATTGGAGTTGCTTCCTCAAGACTTAGGATTTGGATATAGAGGGTTGTTCGATGCAGCAAACACCACGGAGAAGCGAAGGGTTTCCAGTGGTTTGAATGCGCTTATTATATATAGTATAGAGCCTTTCACTTGTCCTGACGTATCAAGTCTAAGGATTGTTGGGTTCTCAAAGAGAATTGAACGGCCACCTATATCCTAAATGCTCGTTGCTAGCTCGTCGACTAAGGCGCGCAGATGTACAAGGTTACGATAACGATAAGTGATAAGTTAGCCGGGGGGGCAATAGGCGTCATTGCTCCTCCCATCCATTCATACACACCTCCAGCCACCAAACGCACACATACGATTGGCCTATCCTAATTTGCCTGCGCCCACCCAAAACCCCACCACCCACATGTAAGTTCCCCCATCGCAGTAAGGTGTTGACATGTACATATTATAAATGATGTATGATATAAATGTATGTCATGAAATTGGCACGACCTCCCTTCTTCCCTTTCCACCACATTTGTCCCTGCTGCTCACGCTCTCTTTCTTCTCCTCGTCTCTTCCGGTTGAGGGTCCCTGTCCTCTATATGGCGCAACACCACGGCCGCGTCCCGACCACCACGGCTGCTCCCTGAGCTTAACAGTGGCTGTCGGGATTCGATCATGGACTGCTTGGTTTGGTCGTGGAGATCTTGTTCACGTTCGCGGGCTCTCTTCAAGATCTCTGTCTCCATGACACTATATTTGGTTGTGGGGAGGGAAACAGCTTCACACTTGGTCAAAGCGAGTTAAGCTCAGTGAGTCCACCGCAGCTTGATCCTCTCAGAGAAGATCCTTGATTGCCACCGTTGAACGCGGAGTTGAATTCAGAGATGCAGTTCAGGTTGTGAGATAGCAAGGATTTGTAATCTGTGACGATGGGTGTCATGATTAGCTTTGACAGTGGGCACGGAAACAGGTTCAGGGACCTGTGGAAGACAGGACACTGTTCAGCTTGCTTCCATTCTGCATTGGCCTCCAGCGCGTTTTCTTTTTGTGCGAGGTGGGTGACTGGCACGAATGCACTGTTCTTGTGATAGGCCCACCCATTCTTCCCTTTGGGTTTAATTTTGGCTTGCTCCGTTGACCGCAAAAGTACAGCGTTTTGGAGATCAGGCTTCTTGGGAACCAAGGTCCTGTCTGTCGTTTGCAACCGACTTGCACGACCTTTAGTCGGGAAACACATCTTGCATCATTCAACGTATTTTGGCGCCTTCAAGTTCGGGTCTTCCTACCAAAGGAAGCGCTTGGTCAGCCTATTTCAACAACCCCTGCACATATCCTGTGTTTGCGGCTTCTTTGGGTAGGAGTTTTCTTCTGTGGATATGTGTTTCCAAAAACTTTGAGGATCAGCGGTGCGTGTGCAAGCCGAATCCGTTCTTGCGGTGAAAGAATTATTTGTGTGGCTTACGCTTCTGAATCCGTTTGGGTCGACGTCAACGCTTGACTTCTGCGCTGTGTGACGCTGAGGACTGAGTAGGACCGAGGACCGCTGGTGGACAGTCAAGGCTTCTGCGTCCGGCTGCCTAAACGGCGACTCCCGTGAAGACTTGGTGAGCGCATGGGCAAGTCGGGCAAAGCGACGGTATGTAGTTCTCTGAAAGCTACTGTCCTCATCACGAAAGGTAGCTTGAGCTACCTGAGTTCTCCTTGCTTTAGCAAAAATGTATTACAATCAGGAGTTGGGATTGTGCATTGAATTTGGTCCTGTAAGAGTTGATTCTGTTCGTCGGGGGGGGGCCCGCCCCCCTCCCTGGATCAAATCCCCCCTGCGCCGGTTCACGCCGTCATGGACTTCTACCAGGGTTACTTGTGATTGCCTGCTACCTTTCGTTCACCCCCTCCTCTCTCAAGTTGTGACTCCGTGTGCCGTTGCAGCGATGGCCATGCAGTGCTGGCCGAATTGAATGTGGGTATATGATAGATCAGTTCGGACACCTTGGCAAGCTTATCAGCATCAAATCAATGACCTCAGCGGTTGTTCCCAGTGAAAATGCTTTGCGTGCGCGATTCGATCTCGAATCCAAGTGCTTGTTCTAGTTTGGTCTTTTGTGCCTGTGATGCCTGAGATGGTAAGGGTACTGAGATGTCCTAAGAAGCATTCAGCGATGCCGCTTCAGGGCTGCAGGGCTGATCACAAGAGCTTGAAAGAGGCTTGCTCGCCCCCGAACAGTCATCAGGTCTCCTGATTCCTTGCTGATTCGTTTCGCGTTGTTCTCTAAGTCGATCACTTGTTGAATCAGTTGAGACTGGATTGCAAAACACTTCGAAAGCTTTTATGTTAGTACGAATGCACGGCGCAACCTGTTTGTGCGTGCCAACCCTGGTTCCAGGCCAAGCATCGCTTGCTTTATCTCGATGGAGTGATCGATAGTGATCGTCTTCGTCGGTTGGGGAGGTTCGATTGAGCACCGTGTACTTCCGGTGTTGGAGGAGCCACGGTGGATTTTGACAGGTCTCTCTTCAGCGACTACGGTTTGGGCGTTCCCCGGTTGTGTTGGCGTCCCCTCTCATAGTTTGTTCGGGGTCTTGAACGGGGTCTTGAAGTCGTGTTCTGTGCCCGGACCTGTCCAGCTTCGTTTGCGTCCGATTGTCCTGTTAGGTCGGAGGTCATCGCTATTTGCTTCATTTTGTCGCTCCACAGTTTTCTTGCTTTCGGAGGGTGGGGGCGGACAGGGCGCATAGCATGTGCATGCATGTGCTACCTACGACAACCGCAATGTTGTTTGGTCTATGATGCTGGTATAGTTTTGGTCAAACTGGCTTGATCAAGTGCAGGGTCCAGAAATACGTATTTGTTGACACCTTCAGTTTTCAAGTCGATATTGGCAAACAATTGTTGTGGGCACAAGACGGGGAAAATGCAGTGGTTTCTTCTTTATATGCATTTGCATCATGTTGCATCCCATCTCTTGGTATCCACCGGTTCAGCTTGGGTTTTGGTCGGGTGCGGGCCAGCTTTCAATGCATACTTTGTTGGCCGATGCACAAGCGCTGAGTCCCTTGAAGTATGTCGTGGTTTGTGTTGTGAGCATCCCACCGTGTCCACCATAAAGCGCCCACTGATTTGTGAGATTCCAACAACTTCGCAGTCAGCTTGCAGGAGTATGATGCGAAAAGCATCGCGTTCCATACGCTCAATGGCATCGACACCATCAAGCTGCAAACAGAGATTCGCCACATTTATTGTTTTTTTGCTCCGCAAATAACACTCAAAGTCATGTTAGCTTACATTTTGATAAAGCAAACTTCTCTATGTTGAAATGCCAGGTTTTGTTTTTTTTGTCTTGGGTGAAAACCTGCAAGCCCCACTCAGAGTTTCTCATCTTCAGGACTCGGCAGCTTTTGACGAAGCTCCTGAAGTGCACTTTAAACATGAAGGAGTGCTGATGAGATCAGCGGCTGATAGTTTAGAAACTGTTGTTCATTGTGTCCTTGCGTTGTGTCCCTTTCTTCTGGTGCTGCAAAACTGAAAGTGGAAGGTGCAAGACATTGAAAGTCAGTGCCAATGAGAAATTGTGAGGCACTGCTGAGAAGCTAATCACAACGAACGAGATCGCGATCTTGGGAACTGGGGATTTCAACACCAAGAAGTACTGGCAGATTCTTAGTTTGAGCATGTGAGCAGATGGCAACCTTTTATGCTGAATGTGAGGAGAAGACGTGAGAAGCGTATCCGCATTCCTTGTTATTTTGCCCTGTGGATTTAGGGTAGTTAGATTCCACACATCAGACCGGGTGGTAAGCCAGCAAACTGGACCTTCCGACACAACCAACCAGGCCCAGAGACATACGTTGAAATCGTTTATTTTAAGCTGGCAAGCTGGGAGACATGCAATAAGCAGAGTCTTCATCAAGGCCACAAAGGGGGGAAACAGCCACAGACAGATGAGAATGCCTCGAACCGATCTCGTAAAAGCCCAAGCTGCGCAACGTGGGCAGTGATATGGTAGACGGTAGATGATGGTCTTCGTTTGATCGGTAACGGTTGATTTGTATGGTCGAGCGGCTTGCAGTGCAAGCAGTCTGCAAGCAGCAGTGCATCGGTGTCTATCGCTCTCGGGGTCTATCGCCCGAGCGACGAAATTGCGGCGACAAAATCAGAGTTGGCGAAGCCTTGCTTTTGTTCCGTAAGCCATCCATGCCGCACACAAGCGTCCGTTTTGGCCCAGTCTTGGCGCCCTGCGTTTGTTTGTTTGGTACGCAAGGGGATTTTACACTGCAGGTTTATACAAGGGGTTGGAAGTATATAGTAACTGTTCAACACAAGTTAGTCAGTTAGTCTTGTTCACTGAAGCCGTTTGTGTCAGCTTTCTGTGTCTGAGCCCCAGGCGATGGAGCAAGGCCTTCAAAAATTCGCGCAACCTGGCCCCCGCTTTCATGCGCGCAGACAAGTTCGTGCGTGACCCAGCACCGGAGTGCCGCACAAACCCAACAGACAACCCTTCCGGCTGCGGCAAGGTGCCTCGACGAAACCATGAGCGAGCACGATTTTCGGACTTTGAAATCTGTGATTTTTGCGACCTGCAAACGAAAGTTCTGCCAGGCGTGTGTTTTCTGCATGCAAGCTGCTGATGGAGACGCCTGCCCAGCCAAGTCCAAACACAACGACATCAGCAAGGGCATTGGCCTGAGCCAGGCTTTTTGTGGTGGTGGTGACAGGCTACTTGGCTGACTTGACTCTTCTCAAAAAGTGTGTCATGCCTTGTCATGGCCAATTACTCTCAACAAGCTAACCGCGACCTTTCGAAGTCTTTTGGATCTACAGCTTCAGTTGCTTCAGAAAGGGAAAAACAATCTTTGACTTTGACTTCCAATGGCCTTGGCTGAGTGGGCACTTTTCTGGGATGAGGAATGATTGCAGCAGCAGCGGCAGTTGGGCAGGGGACAGTCGGACTTTGGTTTGGGGCCACCTCAGGCGCGATTCCACTGGACAAATTGCTTCGCTAGACGACACGTGCTCATGGTACCTCAAATGTGGGATGATTTTTAGCACTTTGCTTCATTTTGTCGCTCTTGGCCTCTTTGTTGCCTCTCTCAACGATTGCTCCTTTTCTGCTTTTGTTTGGCGTGTAGTCCTTTTTGGGTACCGCCCCACCCGGGCGACGCGGACTGTGTGCAGAAACGTGTTGTCGGAAAGTATGTGGGGTGAGTGGGTTGGAGGGATTGGGGTGGTGAATGTTAGACGTGGGGGTTATCCATTTTTGCAAGGCAGCATTACAAACATTAACGCAGGTTTGAGGCAAATACCAGAATTGTATAATTACTGTGGCGTGTTTGCTGAGAGGATGACGGTGTCGGATGTTTCGACGGTTAGGTGTTTGTTTTTGTTGTTTCGTTTGTGTTGTGTGGTGGGGAATCGCTGCATAGGGATTTGCAGTGTTTGGGACCCCTCATTCATGTGAACCCTTGTTCGTTGGATCAATATATTGGTATGATATCTTTACGGAGTCCTTTTTTGAATTACACCCTAAACTTTGTTGTGCAAACATGTTTGGTTCCGGACTGGTCTTGGGTTAATTGGTTCTTGTTGGACCTACCCGTGAGCATTTGTTGCGTTGTTGGTTGCAGTCCTGTCGAGGAAGAACCCCCTATCGAGTTTGGATGAGTGCACGTTTAGTTTTTTGTTTTGTTGCGATGCTTGCTTCGCTCACGCGCAACGCCGATTGGAGCCGAGCATCCATGCAGCGCGATGAAAGTTGGTGTTACTTGACCAGCAAAGCGCATGAGATGGCCCCAGAACTCATAGCAATTCCAGAAGAGGATGAGCGTTGGAAATTGGAGACACGACCCTCACTGAGAACAGCTCCATCAAGGCCTTGAAGGCAGCAGCGTATTTTTGCAGGGTGATGAGGCGGCGAAGGAGAGAACCTTCCAGAGACTGAAGCGCACGTGTCTTGAGGCTTAGAGAAGAAGATCAGTTGAGGCGGCGCGCGAGCAGTTCCTTCAGTCCACGCCAGCACCACATGCACCTGACGCGCCAAGCCAGCCTGCATAGGAGGAAAGAAGGTGACGCAATGCGAAAAGGATTGACAGAAGATCGAGGAGAGCTCATTGAGAGAACTTCTAACGATCCAATGCGAAGATTCCATGGTTGTTGTTTGGGCTAAATGGGTGCAAGTGGAGGCTTTGAGGAGAAACCAAGGTCTTCTAGCGTGTGGAATTAGCCTTTGACATTGAGCCAGCGTTGCAAGCAGCTGCGCGTATGGCACAAAATATCACACGAAATCGCAACACGGAGACTTTGCTGCAGTGAGGCAAGTACTACGACAAAGCAGTTCGCACTCAACGGGGAAACCAACGCAGAGCGAGGGAGAAGCAGACGCTGCTTGTGGCGGCGGCGGTTTTCCTGCGCTCCACCGAGACAGTCGTCCACTACGTGGGCAGCGGATGAAGTAAGAGGGTGCAAGGCGCAAGGTTTGAAGGAGGGCCCCTTTCCTTCGCTGCGAGCCATTTCATCAGGTGCGGCTTCAGCGCGTTATGCTCACGCAGACATCGCCCAATCTTGGTAGGAAATAGACGTTCCTTCGCTGTCGCCGATGCCCACATGCTGGGCCGCCTGGAAAGCATGGCGCTGCTCAGCGAGCGAGATTGGTGAGGGGATAGCAGCGGGACATTCGACAAGTTTCGGGGAGGAGCGCAGCGGATAAAACGGAAAGCCCGCAGCGTGGACAGAATGTGCCATCGGAAGAGAAGATGCAGGCACATGATCAACAAGAGACGTAGTCTAGTTACAACCGCCAGCAGTAATGCAAGATACACGATGTTCAGCGGATTATTTTTTCTTAGTGCTTGAAACGCGTTATATATATATATATATAGGAGCTGAGGTTTGGTATCGACGCCTGGAGACCTCAACACCCAGGAAATAATGTCAGCATGAAAACAGATGATTAACGCCCTGGAAAAAATACATTTTATCTTGGTGCTGGAGGTCTGGGCATGATTCACCTGTGCTTGAGGTCTCCTGGTGCTGCGTTTTTCTCAAAGCAAGGGGGTGGCATGACGACGAACGAGTGAACAGAAGAACAAGCGGTGCAAGCAGCTAAACAAGCTAACTCTGCAAACATGGAGAGATACCAGGTGGCGCCCACTCCACTCCTCCGGGCTCACACTCGCCTACTGTTCCCTGTGCTTGGCATCGAGATGTGACTCCGTTTGCCGCTCCGATCCAAAAAGATCGTCGTGACAATACCGCACCCCCTAGCGACTGAAAATCCTGGAGAAAGCAAACTTGGAAGGCCACCAGCCTTCAAATTTTTTCGTAGAATTTAGAAACGCTCTCTTTGATGCCTTTTCCATGTTTTGGGGGCCCGGGGTGGAAGGATATAAAGTGCCAGTGCCAGAAATGTCTAAGGGAAAAGGTGCCTGAGGCTTCCCTAGAAGGACTCCGACATGTTTGCGCTTAAAATCTAGAATCACCCCTCTCTGACAAGCTGGCTCCTTCTTACAGGCGATTGGCCCTAAGGAGCTTCCTCAGGCGATATTGCAAGGTTGCGACTCCTGGCATAAGAACGGGAAGGCGCAAACAACCTTGAACAATTGCGAAATCTGAAAATCACATTTTTCAAGTAACGCCGGTGATGCTTCTGAAGCAGCATGTGAAAATGTGAGTTTTTACATTTATGAATCGCTGTGCAGCAAAGCAGAAGCCTTCAAAAATCCCGTGGAGTGGCTGAGTCAAGATTATAAGAAGGTAATTGCGCAAGCCGCATGCCACTCTGCACATCGCTGTGCGAAATCTTCATTTGTCATGTCCTTGAGCCAACTAGTTACAGTATAAACCATATAAACGGCTAAAGATGACACCGTGGGTTGCTTGGTGGGGTCAATGCCTCCGGTGGCTCCCCGGTACCGGTGCCATGAAATCTTTGAGAAGAAAAAGGCGATATCTTGAGTGGCTCGAGGTATAGGATTTCATAACAGGACTTTATAAGGTGACTATGTTGTGACTGTTTTGGTGAGCCTTGAACTTTAGGAAAATAAATGAAGCACTTGGCTCATCCAAGCACCTTAGCTCCAGAAAATTTCGGAGCCTCAGACCCCAAGAAAAAATAACCACCAGAGCCTCAGCCACCAAGGGCTTTATACATAAAGTCCTGGTGCAAACGGTCAGGTGTCCAAGCAAGGTAGATATACAAGGAACGCAGCGGGAACCACCGGCATACGCTTTGCGTTTGCCGCCGATGCAAGAGGCTATACATACCCCAAACGGCTATGCGTGTCAACAAAACTGTTTGGGTGGAAAGTTTGCCGACAGCATTGTTGCGAGGACGCCGCGTGCCAACTCAAAAGTGTTAAGTTAAGTGTAAGGGACTGTGCGCAAAAATGGAAGAGAGCAGCGCGTCGTGAAAAAATTGACGCGCGCAAAGTTGACAGTTTCGACCTGCGCAGGAGCGCCAAGAGCTACTTGGCGCACAGTTGCAGAAAAATTGGACGCCGTTTCATTTTTTGTTGGCATGTGCAAATGAGGCCCCTACAAAATCTATGAAATGGACGATGGAGGCGATGTTTTTGTGAAGGAGAGCGACGGCGAAAGTTGGGCGTTGGTGATGAAGCTTTCAAAGCAACTCGCAGGGCAGAAATACGCAGAGCCGAGCACGTGCACATATGCATGTTATTTGTTTGCAGCAGTAACTAACTGCACTGGGCGTGCCTTCGTTTGCTTTGTCAAACACCTTTGGTGACCACTCATAGTTTTGCAAGCGAACAATGCAACCAAACAACCCAGGAACGATTTCTGCCACGGCAGCCCCAGGTTGCTCAGCTCAGCTGGTTTCGCTGGCCTCGTGAGTTTGGTTTGCCCTGCCAATTGATGCATTGTGTCACCGTTGTTCTTTTGCGCAAAATTGGGCAAAAAAAATTGTCTGAGGTGGACTGATCAACATGCTTTCCACGCAGACAAGATGTTAGATGCCAGCATGCCCAAACATATGGAATCTTAATTGCAAGAAATCGCAAGTGTCGGCTTGGACACTGAGTGATTGTGGGAGTTCAAGTTTGGTAGCGCAAACATTGAGGAATACGATGCGAAGAGCAAGATGTTCCACACTCTCAAGACGACGGCGATCAAGCTCCAGACGGACAAACGTTACCAAATATGTTTTCTCAGCAAAAGACTCCAAAACATCAAAATCCATGTTCACATGGTTTTTGTAACATGAAAGGTCCCGCAACACGTGTTTAGAACATAGATGCTGGACGTAGCAGTTTGTTCAACGACCTTGTTTGGTGTTTTCAGATAGTCGCAGGCATTGTGCAGAAAACATGTTATACATGTCCGATGTTCCACGGAATCCATTGTCTCTTGACAGCATCTGAATCGCGGCTGCTCCAGAACAAGAAGATGTTTGAAGATGCAGTTGAGGTGCATTTTGAGGAAGAAGGCGCGACATATCGAAGTTTGGATCATGTCGTAGATTCATACTCTGACTCTGAACCAGTGAAATTCTTGAAGCCAGACCGTTTGATGTGGAACAAGTGCAGGATTGTTTGTTTTTTCAGGCATTAGTCGTCTTTTTCTTTGGCTTGGGTTCTGAGGTACTCCAGAAACACTGATTACCACCAACCAAATCAAGATCAAAGCCAAAGGAGGGTTCAACACCAAGAAGTATTGGAAGTGGCCGCCTCAGCTTGATAAATTTGGGGCGCTCCCCTAGTCGATACTTTCAAATCGCTTGACGTGTTATGTGTGGCCCGTGGCGCCCGTGGCTTTAGCCCCATCATACGCCGAACCTGCAAAATCAGCCTTTGCAGAGACCCTGTGCCACGTAATGTGACTTGTTCTTGCGATTCCAGTCAAGTGTAGCAATAAGCAGCGCGCAATTTCAGACAGGCGCGGCGAACCATCAAACAAAGTTGCAAGCGCTCTACTTGTCATGGCACAACTTTTTGAAGATTATACAATTTAGTTTCCTTGCCATGATAAGGGACAGCATGTCAGCATGATGCCGCGTGAGCATTACGCCCTTACAATCTCAGCATGTTTGCAAAAGCTTGTTCTGCCACCTGCTCCGCAGCCTGCTCCAGAAGCCCTGAAACCTCTTCCAGAACTTGGTCTGGAACCTGCTCCGGACCCTTTTTGCCTCCTCCGGATTTCGCTCCCTTGCTCCGCAACTTGCTCCGCAACTTGCTCCGCAACTTGCTCCGCGAACCTGCCCCGAAGCACTGCCTAAGCTTCGCTGTGGAAAAACTATTGAAACCGTTATTCTTTGCTCAAGCCGACCGATGTCATGAGATTCGTTGCCGTGTTCGAGGAAGTGGGAGGCCCAATACGGCAATTCCAGGCAGCTTGCCCCTGCTTTTATGCGTGCTGACAAGTTTGTGCTCGACCCGGCGCCTGAGTGCCGCAAAAATCCAGAGAAAGGTCCGTCTGGTTGTGGCAAGGTGCCTTGACTGCCTTGACTTGATCGCAGTATCTAACTTTGCTGTGCCTTGTTTGTTTGATGTTTTGTTTGTTTTCCATTGTTTGTTCATTGTGCCAATGCAGGCATGCGTTTTCTGCTTCCAAGCCGCTGACGGTAATGGATGCCCAGCACATGTCAAGCACAACGACATCAGCGTTGGCATTGGCCTGAGTCAGAATTTCTGCGGCGGCGGCAACAAGAACTTTGGCTGAATTTCGCGTGCCACAAAGTTCTTTCGAGCTGGATACTTCCAAGATTCCAAGGTGTTTAATGGCGTTTATGTGGTCAATAACTGGGTTTGAGGCAAGATTGCAGCAGCAGTGGAAATTGGGTGGGTGATGCGCAAACATTGGTTTGGGCGAAGTGGAGGCCAGAGAAGTCACAATAAAGTATAATGCGCACAATGCCCGGTTAACCAAAAACAAAGCATGCCTTTGCGCTAGTTGCAAGAAGCATCCATCTGGAGCTTGCGCCGGCGCTCGTCATATGGGCAGCTTGACTTGGTTTTGTCATGAATTGGACAGTCTAGGAGGGCGAACCTGTCGCCGATTTGTCCATGGCCACTTTGCAATCGAGGCTCTTGTGGAGAATTAGAGCCCGACGATTGCGATACCCACTATGTCAAGGTGAAAGCGGATGACGGTACTGAAGCCTATTTGCAATGCAGGACTGTGGGTGGCCAGTGCGTGCACACGGGTCCGCCTTGCTTTGGAACTTGCAGCTTCGAAGCAACGAGTTTCAAGCAACGTCAAGTTTTATCAAGGTCAGAGTGGCTGAAAAGCACCGAATTCTCTATGCAACATGTTAAGTTTCGTCATACTCGCCAGAAGTCGCAGCTGAGGCCTTTGAAGGCACCCAGAGCTGTTGTGAAGCGGCCAGGGACCAGAGATGAGCAGAAAAGGTTTGAAAGATATAGACATGGTGAGTTGAACGCAATTCTTTATTCGTTTAGATATAAGTTTCCATGGATAGCAGTTTAATAAATGAAAGGATCCCAACTGGGGTTACATCCATATCAATCTCCTTCATCGCAGATTGTGTATGTCGTTTCTGAGTATGTGAGTTGAGTATGGACCCCGAGCCCATTTCGGCTCCAGACCGACCCAACGAAGTGCCGCCATGGTGGCATGGCTGGCTCTGGCATGGCTGTCACCGGTCGCCGCCATCTCCATGCAGGCGCCACAGCAACGTGTGGAGAAATTGCGTGGATTTGCATGGTATGATAATATAATCAATATCTATGTTAGCATGTTAGTGTTGTGAGAACGAGGTTTAAGCAAAGGGTCGTGCCGTGCTCCCACGATGGCAAGCCCCGTTCACGGCCAAACAGTAGTCACGGCTTCAGCTACATCGCGATTGCCCGCCCAGCTTTTGTTCGAGGCGGCGATCCCAACACAAAAGCTTCTCAAGTGCCGTTTCATAGCTTTGTTGCTCGAAACTCACACTGGTGGGTGGTAAAAGGAGTTGGTGAAAAACACACCTGCCGGCTTTTCCTCCAAAAATTTGGATTGAGCATTGCGGGCTCCGTGAACAAGTCGCTCCGTGCCCTAGACCAGTTGCACAGCACGAACAAGGGAGTCGCCCGAAGATGGCGCCCCAGGCTTTGCCTTCTAGTCACTTCCGACTTACGTGCCAGCAGGCTCCTTGCCCAGCTACGTTGTTGTTCGACCTTGAGCCTCTCTGCTCAAAATCTTCTTCTCCTTTGCTCTTCAACTTCTCATGTTCAGCCGCCCGCGCGCGACATTCCTTCACAGCATGGGGGCCTTTCTCTCTGGTCCCCCGAGTTCGGCAGTCAGCTTCTGTAGAAGCTTGTAGGTATCTGGCCATGCTTCTGTTTGTGAAGAACTTTCCATGTAATCCATGAATTCAGGCCAAAGCGGGGTAGAGCCTTCTAGCATCAAAGATGATGTAGGAGTGGAGATCCCATGCTGTCCATGCTTTGTCACCGCTTTGGCGATCAGAAACCAACTGAAGACAGTAATGAACATGGCGACAGGATCAGGAACACAAAAGCCATCGAAGATCTCCTCAGGGGCGGTCTTGGTGTCAGAGGCATAGACATAGATTGTCATGAACATGCAGCTTGCCATCACGGCTGCTAGTGCTTGATTGCATACCGTTCTGCGTTGCATTTTCGGCTTGTGGAGTTTCGAGGGACCCGCTCACCGTCAACGAGCCCGACGGGCCCGACGGGCCCACGGGCCCACGGGCCTGGACGGGCTCAACGGGCCCGACGGGCCCGATGTAGGACAGGGGGTATGGAAACACACGGAATCCATGGGTGTAGAGTTCCAGTCTGATACGAAAGTTTGACGAGGAGACAGATCACTCCACGGAAACGAGGCGGCGCGATGGATCTTGTGCCATTCTTCATACGCAACCCACGTCAATCAGGAGATCAACATCACCTGCGGCTCGCTTCCACAAATTTTACAAGCAAGGAATCAGGAAAACCTCTGGTCATTCGAGAATGTTTGTCTGCGTAGATAAACAGCTCAGACACATGCAAAGGAACATGGCTGATAGCCCTCACAAAGGTTACAGAAAAGGAATCAGGGACATATCTGGTCATTCGAGATATGTTCGATCGGGAAGAGAATACTGCTGCTTGACCCGCTCATGTTTTTTCGATGTGCATAAACAGGTCGGAGACATGCAAAAGAACATTGGGCTCAAATCAAAGCCCTCACAACCAAACCATGATATCACATCCTGATACTGTATTTCAAGCCGCAAGCCACAAACCCACGCGCGACATTTGACAAGCCAACAAAACACCGCCCTTAAAACCACGAAATGTTTCTGCCAGCCTTGCTGAGACGATCGTGCCAGGCTCCACCTAGTGCCCAAGCGGACTTTGGCGCAAGCTTCCAGGGAACAAGCTCTATATCTGCAAACAGAATCTGCTAACAAATTGGACAAACTAAATGTACGCAACAAGTGGGCTGTGAGAAGGCATGTCTCAAGGGATCAGCCATCGCCCGTGGTTTCTTTACACTGTCGCAACGAAGCTATCAGTCTTTGGCGCTCCTCTACTCAGAGACATCTCCTCAGCAAGCATGAAACCCAAGCGATTGGCTGCTGGCAGGCTCAGATGGGCGGCTGGCAGGCTGAGACTTTTGAGTGCGACAGGACAACTTGTTCCTTGGAGGGATCCACATCGCCTGCAGCTATCTCAAACACAAGGTTTGCGCAGGCTAGCACAGCGAGCTGCCAGGCTGCCGTTCCCAGTCGCCCTGCAGCGTTTGTCTGAGCCTCACACCTGCCAACTGCTGCCTGAACATTCCACCCAGCTTGAAACGCTGTGAACAAGCTCCGCGCCTCCTCTGACATCTGGATCACCCGGTGTGGCTTTTCGCAGTATGATATGACCTTGTGGGTCACGCTGCTCACATCTTTGTCGGGGCTCACAGCAATGTTCCTGTCTGGGAACCGCAATTCTGCACGGTGCCAGGTGTGATGGGTTTCTTGAATGATCCTGAAACGCAAGCGTGTCTCTACCCCATCGCCCAAAATCACAACAAAGCCTTGGCAGTTTGGCAAAAAGCTTCCCTGCTCTGGGATTTCTCTCTCTGCGCCTTCCTCTTTGCTTTCCTCAAACATCTGCTTTGCATACTCGTACTGCAGACATTCTGGAACGAGTCCCAGAGGCTCCAACATGTTCTCTAAAAGCGGCGCCCACATCCACTTGACTTCCAAGCCTGCTGGAAGTGGGCTATGGGGCTCAACGGGTTTTCCCCGTAGTGTACAGGAACCTTTCAGCGCAAGCCTCCCAGCCGCGCCGCTGAGGACATCAAAAAAAGCCGATGGGTGAGCGTTGCCCACCCCACAAAGGTTGACGACCGTGCCGATATCCTCGTAGCTCTGCACACTCTTGAACTGCAAAGCTGACCGACCCGTTTGCAACACCCTGTTCAGCTCACTAGCAGCATCGAAGGTGCTCTCTGCAGTTCCTGCAAGGCTGGAGATAAATCGGGTTCGATTTCAACGAATATGATTCGAAGCAACAAACATAATTCACAACTACCTCTGTTTTTCGAAATCTTGCTTCCAGGACACGGTCTGAGTCTTAGTTGTCATTAGTCTTCATGTTTGTTTGTATGGGTGAGTTCTAGTAAATAAACGGCAAACGGACTGATTCCTGCTAGCGCCCTTTCTTTCACAGCTCTGAATACTGTCACTAGTTTGTACTTTGATGAATAGAGATGCTGCATGCTCAGGGAGGTATGACGCTGAAAATGATAAAATCAGGTTGAAAGTCATAATTAGACCCTCTGGAAGACAAACCCTTGAACCGCGTTTTGCGAAATCAATTGCGGTTTCACACTTCTGGCTGTCCTTTTCCACTACCCGACAAGCCCAAATACTTCATGAACCTGTAGGCTTCATCGAGGTTCAAAAGGGTGAGAACTGGCTGCTGGCGCATTGCTGAAAGTCAGCGGCGCACCTTTCCCACAGGGCCGGTTCAGTAAATGAAGTCAAAGTACATGATTTCAATTTCATCTTGGTTCGGCCAGCGTGACCAGCTTCTTGTCCAGTCATGATGGTAGATGCTCTCTTCTGGCATGCTTCTTGGATCACATCAGAAACCTTCTGAAGAACGCCGTTCACTTGGGACTTTCGGGTTTGAACCAGGTTCACGTTCAACACTATGGCCGACAAAGGTGTCAAAGCGGACGGCCATATTGACACACAGGCTCCATTTGTCGCGGCCAGGAGCCCTACCTGTAACCCTAGACTGAATGGACACGGATGGTGAGATGACCTCGCCGCCAAAACTTCCACGGCCGCGGCCCCTTTGGGACCATAGAGAGCTGAAGCGTCAAACTGTTTATCTACATGTTCTTGCGAAGCCAGCAAGCGGGCAACGTGCTTAGGATCCTGATTCATCCCTACAGCAGAGTGGCTTTCCCCTTTGAACCAGCGACCGCGGTGAAGACCCACCTAGTGACACCGACAAGACATACTTGCCGACGTTCATTTGTAATATAAAGTACTGCATGCGCCTCCGGCTCCTGCCCATTCACCAACAAAGTGTGGAGGCGCAGACGGCTCCTGCAAGGCTGGCAAATCTGCGGTGACAAGGTTCTCCCCATCAACAAAGGCTTTGCCATGAAAACAGGAGGCTCCACACGCCAAGACTTCCATGATATCGGAGACTTACACACGACCGCGCTGACATGAGTTTCTAAACAACTTCTTTCCAACAAAAATGTCCATCCGCCAGAGAGCTGAGGGGCTCTGGGAATTCACTCACACATTGAGGGATGACACAGCGCTCCGAACACGCGCCCAGACCCATAGAACCCTCCGCCGCCCACACAGCCCAAAGATAAAAAGTCACACATCGGGACTGCAAGGGCGCGCGCTTACGGGCCGTAAGGGGCTTCACCCTCCGACGCCCACGCGCCCCGCCAAGAAAGCAAGCCTGCGGGACTGCCCGGCGCACCCATTTGGCCGTAAGGGTTACAAGGTACAATACAAGCAGGATATGAGCATGCAGCGTCAATTTAGCTGCTACTGAGGATTGTCCGAGAAATTGCACAATGGCCTTCACAAGAAGTCATAGACACCGTTAAAGTTCCTATCTAAAACCAGAACACCAAGCCTCAATGGGATCAAATGAAGCCATGACTATGTAAACAAGCCGGATAGGGATTCATGTCCATACCCGGTCCTCCAACAGATTACTTTCATTTCACCTCACCAGTTCGCTGCGCGGCTCATCGCAAAGAGTTGCGAGAGTCTACGATTTCCTGCAAATAGAAACGGCGAACAGCTCCGCCCATGTTACGGTAGCCGTACTTGTAACGGCGACTGACTCACAGGCACTCGTGTTGAATCCACAGAGCAAGTCAGCGTGCTTGTCCGGGTGACACCGCACGGCGCACCACTCATACTTGTGCCCAGCGGCGTGGAATCTATCGAGTACCCCACACATATTAGCCAGTTCTTTTGCCAATGGTGAATGGTCAGCGTGCTTTTGAGCATAGCGAAGCAAGTGGCATGCGTCGTCACGTATTATGGCTCGCAAGCGGTCTCCCAGGCGGTACCTGCGCCGGACACCACTTCACGTACGGAAAAAAAGGGTTCTCTGTGTCCCATGAAATCTCTTGCTTATATCATTCACACCAAGCTAAGCGTAACCCCGTTCGAGTTGTCAGAAGTTTGCTTCGTCAAACAAGCAAAAATGACAAACGCATGTAAGAAGACTAGTGCAAGGTGCTCCAGCGATGCTATAAAAAGTATCGTTGGGCGACAGTCTCCGTCCCAAGGAATGGTGCGATGTGAAGGATGTAGCCATTGCCTGCGCGCGCAATCAATACCACCAAGACGGCCTTGCTTCACCAAGCGCTTGTATTCTTTGCTTGCTTCTTTGCTCGTCTGACACGTCACTTCGAGGGAGCTCCTGGGGGTTCTCATGCTGACAAACCCTGCCACTTCTTGCTGTGACCAATAGTCTCGCACTTGCCGCTCTGTCGCTTGGCTAGCGGGAATCCAACGGCCAACGCAATTCTTGTCTGTACCGCGCAATACGGCCTCCGTAGCCTTAAGACAAACTTCATATGGGCAAGCAGATGCGTCTTTCAATAGCACACGACGCCGCCGGTGAGCGACAACAACCTCATCCCCAAGCGCTTCCGCGTGCGCGCCGGTCAAATCATGCTCCCGACACCGACGCTTGCGAAACAACGGGGTTTTACTGCAAGGGCCAGCGCTAAAAAGCCCTAGCTCAGGGCATTCAACCAGCTCTGCCGCTGGCCGGCCACAAGACCGAGCATTCAACTTCATGTTCCCATCCACCACCGCCCTGGAAACATCCTCTCTGGAGTGGTCGGCACCAGCCAGCCGGCGGTCGAACATGTATTTGTCATACCAAGTGGCGCTTGACAAAGTTGATCCAAACGGCAACTGAAAGTTCACCCCAGTGCACTGTATAATATTGCCCGGGTTTTCTTCCATGAGTTGAGCACGGCGGCACACCTGGGCGAATTCTTTGCAGGTGTGCATGTTCGCGTGTTTTGCCTTCCAACAGAAGCGGAAAGAACTACTGTGATCAACGACATGACAAGTTTCGTCAAATCCCTGGAACGACCCAACTGAATCCCACTGGCCACCGACTGCCAACACACTACCTAGCCACACAATTGCGATTTCTTCAAGCCATGTCAACTTTGCCAGTCGCAACTGCTTCAGCCCGATGTACACGGGCCTCACCCCACCAAGACACGTACTGGAACCTGGTCTGCCATAACCCGGCAGAAAAAAGAACCGGAATCGCACCTAGCTAGCAACAAAAACACTCAGAATACCAAGTTACACCAGTCGTCGCGAAATCTGCCTGAGCCAGCTCAGGCTGCGCGCAAGAAAAAGAATTCCATTTGTACTGCAGGAAGCCACATGAAGAGATGCTCCGTTTTGGACTTTGACACATAGTTGTACCACACACGTTTGCAAAACTGAGAGCATGTACTTCGCAAGCACCGTTTACTGCGACGCTGTACTTTCTCCCACCCATGTGGAAAGAGCACACTTGCGCTCGCCACCAAAGTCCATCCCAAGCGACTTCCACAGACATTGCAGTTTTGCCCTGGGAACTCCCAGACGCGAGGCTCCATCAACGTGGTAATACTTTTTTTCGTATTTCCATCAAGTGGATAGCGTTGCAAAGCGCTTTGCGCTTTGTGCTCTCTTTTTTTGAACATGCTTGGAGCGACTTCCTACATGATTCCAATGTTTATCTCCTATATGCTGATGCATCTGCCTTGATTTCGCGCCACCGGCGCAGCTTCTTCCACGCATGTCCACCAAATTGGCTCAAATAGGCAGGACTCTATATTTGTTAACACTATGTAGTCATTCCACTCTCTTTCATCTTCCACGCACCAACCCTTTCGGTCCTTGTCTGCTGCAAGGCCCGCCACAGTGGCTCAAAAAGAAACAAACCGACGTAAATCCGAATCCATCTGCTGAGTAATTCACTTTTTTACCCAAAAAAACTTGTACTACCTTGTACACCTTCTACCTTGTACTACAAAAGACTCACTTTCTACCTTGTACTAAGATACCCTTGAACTGAAACAGCTGACGGGCCCTGACAGGCCAACGGGCCCGACGGGCCCACGGGCCCGGACACAGAGGGGACCACACCCTCGCCACTTTGTTTCGCCAGGCCATCAGCGTACTGCAGCTTGCCGCTGACCCATGAAGTTTTTCCTTGGCAGCCTGCAAGCTTGTCTTGACAGACCAGGGCCTCGACGCGGTCCTCTTGTCGCTTAGATCTCATCGTTGGTCAGGACATCAAACAAAGCCTTGGCGCCCATGACCAATCGCGAGATTTCAAAAACAAGCAGGCAAACGTCAAGGCGTCGGAGCAGCTTGCGCTTCTGCTGATAGGGTGCTTCGCGCGATCCTTTCCAGGAGCGCCAATCTAGGACATACGCAGCCAAAAGGTCGCCTCCCTGGCTGTTGTTGCCACTGCGACGCGCAAAAGAGGTGTGAGAGGTCAGAAAACTCTTTCGCAAAGCGAAGGTGCTGGGTCACCATCTGGAGAATCTGTGGGAGGTCTGAGTGGCAGGCCATTGAAGTCTACCAACGAGTCCACGAAGAAGTGAGCGTTCATGTTCAGTGATTGGCGCCTCACAACAGTCACGCCATTGTCGAACTGTTCTCCCAGAGTGGCAGGTTGCCACAAGGGCCATCGAAGGAGACGAGTTCGTTCTCCTGATCCACCTTCATTTTGAGGGCCTGTAGGATAGGCCTTCCCACCAGCATCAACCAAGAAGCGTTCGACAAGGCCAGGGGGTCCATTCGCGTAGATGGGAAGCTTCACTGTCCAATCTGCCCGCCCCATGGCATCGCCGCCAAAGCCGAAGAGCTTTGAGGATGGGTAGAACACATAGCGCTCAACAGGGGCGCCTTTGGAGTGCGTGAGAGTGATGGTCTCCATCAAGACGCGGTGACCGCGAACGAGACTGCTTGCGCCTCCATCCAGCCCAGCTGGAGATGTGGTAGGATCTGTCTTGGCTCTCCCGGGCAAAGTGCTTGGTGAGGTCTGGACTGCTGCGGACAATCCAGCGGAGCGCGGCACAGCGTCCACACTGAGCGTGGATTTGCATATTCCTTTGCCTTTTCTTCCCTTTTATTCCGCGTTTCGAGGTGGGTCTCTGTGAGGACGGCAAGGGCGATGGAGTGAAATGGCAACCACGCGGTAGTATCCACGAGAGGCCTTGATGTTGGCCATGGCTCTTCAAGAGTTTCATCATCCCTTGTTGGTCTTGTTCTTTGTCCACGCTGGTTTCTCATCTTTGGACTTGAAAGGCAGGACGGACTCGACCTTCTCCATGTCCAACTCGCCCGACTTAGGCCGGAACGAGCTGCTTTTACTCCTGAGTCAAGTTGGAGCGGTGAAACGTCAACCGTCCGGAAACACTGGGTGGGATCTTGATCTCAAACTCATAGTCATGTCATGTCTGACTTCCTGCAGAGCTGGCAGAAGAACTTCTCCAACGCTCTGGGCATTTCAAAACTGCAGTCACGCTCAAAAGCGCGGCGTGTGACGAGAGTCGACCGTGCGCTTGACTTGTTGCTGCGCTGAGCTGTTCGGGCTCGTGAACACATTGATCACGGCTTCCTTCTCTTTGTTCTGGAGGGTGGGTTTCCTCTCGCGCCCGGTAGTCAGTAACCTTCAAGGTGTCAACGTGACCTCCTGCCGATGAGGATGGCGCGCTCTCACCTTGCGCCGAGGTAGTGCGGCAGTGCGGCCAGACATGCCCTGGAGCTACGGTAGCTTGCAAAAGGGTCGTGTTCCCACGATGCCAAGCCCACAAAGCCTTGGACGAAGTTCCGCAAGCAAAGGCCACAACCTTTGCGCGGCCAAACAGCAGTGATGGCTTCAGCTACGTGGTGATTGCCCGCCCAGCTTCGCTTCGAGGCAGCGATCGCGACGCAAAAACTTCTCAAGTGTCGTTTCGTGGCTTTGTGGCACGAAGCTCACAGTTATATTGTCAGTGTTTGCATAACATATGCCACGCGTGTGAGGATACAACTTTTGCAGCTCAGTAAGTTCCATACCAACAGCTGCGCACATTTCTTTTCCTTCTGGGACTCAATTTCTTGAGCCGGGCGCGCTCTTGAAGGCCGATTGTATTGAATCATTTTGAACGATGTCTTTTGCCGCAGAAGAGAGGAACGAATCAAATCGAACCTTTAACTGTAGGAACTGCGCGCCTGTTCAAACGCACGCGCTAAGCGCTAGGAAACGCGACTGCGTGGATCTGTGGACACCAACATGACGCTGACGCAATCCTTGGCATGTGAACGACCCACTGGCTGGTGTTCAGCTGCCACGCATCCTGCCAAAGGGCGAGTTTTGGAGGTAAAAGATCAAGGCAAGGATCGGTGTAGCCTAAGCATGTTATTCCCAAGATGTGATATCAAAATCGAGTTGCAGGAAACAGTGGTTCTGGAAACGCAAAGTCTCGATTGTTTTGATCATTTGTGCCAACTGGTTTGGAATTTGCAAAGGAAACGGACTAGTTTTTGATGTTTTTTCTATTTGCCCCATTTTGTTCTGTCTAGTTTGACACAGAAAAGTTCCTAGAAGAGAGCCCACAGAGCGCAGAGGTACAGCTTTGAGGACGGGATCGTGAAACATTTGGTTCCTTCATTCCTTTTCAAATTAAGACATGTAGTTTGCGTAGCTTGCAAGATTGAGAAATGATGCAGGACAGTTGTTTGCTTCCAGGGATTCTAGAAATGCCCATCGCACCCCCCCAAAAAAAAACATCTCGACTTCCGCAAAAAACTCGTTTGCTAAGGGGCAATGTGACAGTCAGAAAAAGACAATTTGAATCTTCGGGCAAGCAAACCATGCTCGCTCCGTGATTCTGCCCCATGAACCAGGATTGCAACCTGGACGGGATCAAGGACCAGGTTTGCGTGAAAAATGAGAGCCTTGGCGTGTAGAGGACACTTGCAACTACTCGTGTAGGAAGTGCCTTTGCATATCTACCAAAATGATTCAAATTGCAGATGTTGTCGTCATTGACGCCGCTTTAGGGGACTGAAGCAAAACCGTTCACGTGAACTAGCCATGCAACACCCTTTGCGCGGTGATTGCACCGCTCGGCAAGGAAAAAAAGTATTCGACTCAGTGGTGAGTGCAGTACTTATGACATCAGCAGCTGGAAACGATGGGATTGGCGGCGTCCCCCAGTGGCCAGGGCGTTGAGCTGTTTCTGGAGTGATCCCTTGCTGGCGGAAATTTGGCTCATATTCCGATTTCTGCTCTTCCACAGGTTCCGCATCAGGATGAAATGTTGGAGATGCTGAACGCCCCTATCCACAGCATTCTGAGCACCATTCCAATTTGCAGATATATATATATATATATAACTTCGAGCCAATAGCTGAACAAAGTTGTCCTCTCATCCTGACCGCCAAACATGAACGGATTGTCTTCATAGATGTCTTTCCAGCTTTCCTCTTATTCTTTAGCAGTATCTTCCTCCAGTACCCCACACCTGTTGGAAGGGCTTGGAGAGGTGGCAGCGTTGCGCAAGTCGATAAGTGATGTTTACAAAATGCGGGTTCAGCATTCTGTCAGGAAGTAGGACCCTACTGCAAGTCTGAACAAGCAACCCAAAAAGAACCTGCTTTGGTGGTGGATGTATTTTTTTGCCAGTCTCCAATTTGGGATGATGTCAATAGGGGTGAGAGATGTTCCATGTGGTGGCCCATGTTCAATTGCGTTGTAGCTTTCATGTACTTTGGTGTGGCCATGTGATTTGACACGAAAAAGTTTCAACTCTCAATGTTTAATGTTTATAGAGAGAGAGAGAGTGAGAAAGCATGATGTTGCACAGTTCATCACAGTTCTTCTATGTATCAGGACCGCTAACCATGGCCAACAGAGCTGCAACAAGAGCATACCAAACCCGAACAGGATACACCAAACAAACCCCGCCAAAGAAACCATGAAGTTGCCTTGTGTTTGTGTACACTTTGCTGTTCGCCTCTCAAAGGTAAAGCCGAAGTACCTGATTGCGGCATGATTCGCAAACGTCGACATCATGCAGATGACTTCCTTTACATCACCAAGTCTGACTTCAAGGTGCGAAGTTACCATCAGTTACGCCGGGTTTGGTTTGGAAGGGCATCATTGTCCCTTTTTTTTGTTTGGAAGATGCATTCCGAAGTTTCTTGAAATCACTTGAGGGCCAGGTCAGGTAGTGTCAAGTCTTAGGTTGGAGGCCATCGCAATTAGGTTCCTTGAAGTCTTTGTTCACATGTATATACAGTACAGTAAAGAAAAAGTAGTGCGTGCCAAATCTCTCCTGTCGCGAAGCATCGCTACGCCGCTACACGATCTCAAAGCCACCGCCCAGATATACAAGCAAGAGCTCTCGAAGATGACGCTCAATAGTGGATGGATCGAGACTGGAAAAGGGGATATCATTGCTTTGGTGGTTGCTTTGCTGGACTTCCAGCGATCAATTTCTGTTTGTTCTGTTTCTTTAAAGGAAACCTGTGAGAGTTTCTCAAATGTGGAGATCATGTGCGAAGAGTATGCCGTTTTGATTGCGCGAAGTCCATGGACTTTGCAAGGCTTACCAAGATGGCCTTTTCGGCATTGGTACCAACAAGAAGATCCTCGGACTTGCAAGGGCCATCAAGGGCATCCTCGAATCTTCCGATTTCCTTGCAATGCAATAAGGGCACAGGCCAAGGGACCTTGTTCATCCTGCTTCGATTGTTTTCCTGTTGTTCACAGCAGCAACAGCGACAACAACAGGAACAAGAAGAAGGACGAACAAGGATCTAGCATTTTGATGAATGGTGCAGCATCATCTTGATTCATAGTGACAGCGCCCATATTCCTTGAACAGTGTGATGTTACTGATTACTCCTGCTTTTTACGAAAGGAAGCCGAAGGGGTGAACCCAGAGCCTGGTTGGGGAGAGCGAAACCAAAATAAACCCTACGACCGCCTTGGTGATGCGAGTAATGCCACAACAGTTTAGATGATTTGTTTTGCATCATTAACTGGCAATGATATCGTTTTTTGGGATGCTGTTGCAAATTTGCCAGCTCGAGTATGACAAAACATTGTCATTTTGTTGGTCGAGGAAAGAGGCCAATGCATCAGGTTGTGGACGCTGCGTAATAGTGGAATTGGAGACGGCCTAAAGTGCGGTGTTTTTGCACCTAGAACTTGGTGAAGCTGCGTTTATAAATGGCAGCGTTTTGGACGAGGTTATTGGGGACAAGCTCGTAAAGCGTCGGGGCGTGTCGATGCAGGTGTGGAAAGACATAGTGAACGACAGAGCTCTAGATGCAGCAAGTCAAAAATTTTGATGCTCTGCCTGATGGCCGTCTTGGGGCAAAAAAGAGCGCCCCTGAAAAGCGGGTTCTGGTGATAAGACAAAGCAGGACATCTTCGAGCATTTTGATTGAATCTTCCGAGCCGCTGCAGATTTGTGGGGGCAAAGGCGTTAAAACTAAAGTGTGGGAGTTTGGCTGCTGCTTGAGATGAGTTGCCGATGCAGGTGTGGAAAAATGCAGTGGATCTAGATGTAGAGAGTCCAGGTTTCTTGGTTGGTGCCCTTCTGCGCTTTGTTTGAGGGCCGTCTCGAGGCAAAAAATGGTACCTCGAAAAGAAGTTTCTGGCGATAAGGCCCCTGACAAGCAAGACGCACCAGACGCAGTTTCGAGCATTTTGAATGAATCTTGCGAACGGAGTGTTGAGGGCTCTCGCATCGCTTGTTGGAGCTTCTTGAGTTAAGCGCGTTGCTCTAAGCGTTTGCGAGGGCTGGCTTTCGCTCCTTTCTTCTCAGGTTTTGCGGTTATGGGGGAGCGTTCTTTATCACAGACTAAAACAAAGAGGGCGACTGCGCCCAGATAGAGGGCAGATTCATGTCCACATTGAATGTAGCGGCTGTAACTGGATCAGGCTGAACTTGCGTCTCCTTGAAGGGACAGCAACATGCCTGACATAAAATTTTGCCGCCGCAAGTTTGTTTGGTGATGTTTCCTGAAGACAGCGACCGGTTGACCAACCTTTTGTTTGGCAGGTGCCAACGGTTTACGTGTGTGTAGTTTGTTCAGAGTTTTGTTTGTGTTTCTTTGTCATCCACGACATGCCTAGGATCTACCGGCAGAGTTTCGCCATGCTTTCGACGGCCTCCAAATGGAAGCTCGCCGCCAAAGGAGAGTTCTGAAAATGATTAATGCCTGTGCAGGGCCATGCAGAGCTGTTCAACATAAAAATACAAATGACTTCATCTAAAGTGCGGCACTTGACGGGGTCGAGACCAACACGTATGTCTCTCCTTTTCTGCGCAGGATCCATGGTGGCGGGGGATGCAGTGGATGATACCTTCTACGGCGTTGGCACTGCCCCTTGTTATATTTTGTACGTCAGCCGTCAGCGTATGCTGATGTAGGTTGTTGCAACAATCTAATCACGTTCCCAATTTTTTCCTGATGCTTTTGGGTGTGGGTATTGGAGGTTTGCTCACATCAAGAGGCCCCCGACAGCCTCCGATTTCATGGAGAGTTTCAGCAAGAATTAGACTTGGCAGGTGATAGTGGCCGAAATTCCTTGTTCAAAGCAGTCCTTGTTCAAAGCAGTGATTGACCAGCACGTAGAGGAAAGCCAGAGCTCTCTGCAACTGGAACCACCCAGTATAGGTGCAACCCATGGCGGAAGAAAGTAAACAGCGTTGAGTGAGGATGGTCGGATCTATTCTCAAACCATCAGCACCATGTCGCCCAAGTCTGAGTGGACGCAGGCGCCGTCGGGGCTACATGGAGCGAATCGAACATTCAACAGGAATGTGCAGGATATTTGACGGGTTCAGTTCAACTCCATCCTGAACGCACAAACAATTGTAACTACAGACACGGCCAAGGACCAAGGATCACTGATCCGTAGATGAAGACCAGAAAGCTAACACTAAGCGTTGGGCAGAAAACCGGATGTGTTCCTTGTGTTTTGCACACCAGATTGCAATTTGATGCTATAGACTCCATCGCTTCCCGAAGGCCAGTGCCCATTCCACTCGTTTGGAATCAGGTGGTGAGCACGCCCCACGCTCAGCACATTGCGTCTATTGCGATTCACAAGGATGGTGACATGATGTATGCTGCCACGGGAGACGTGGCTCAATTTAGAACGCAATTGCTGCTTAGATTCGAAGCTGTGGAGAGCTGGGAAATTTAAGGGAAGCTGAGACAAGGACCAGTTTGTTGCAAGCTGTCAGGACTAGACTGGTGCATCATGCTGTTGCTGTTTGGACTGAGGGAATGACGGAAAACTCTGGAAGATGAAGTTGAGTAGCTTGGTACAAGAGATGCGATCTAACATCCCAGCAGGCAGTTGCACCGAAAAATAGGCACAAACACAGACACACACACACACACATCGCAAGGTGATGTTGGAGATGTGCAGTGGACCAACGTTCCCCACAATGGCCAATGCTTCTACATTTCCATTCGAGGCGCTGCAGGAAATTGGTTTGTCGGCTTGTTCTCCAAGCTGCACTGAGGGTCGATTTTTTCTTTGTAGATTCAGCAAAATGTCCAACTCAAAAGGAGATGAAGGTTCTCAAGTGTCCAAGACAGTTTTGAGGGCCGATCTGGTTCATTGCTACATTTGCATGAAGTCATTGTATGTTTGGCTGAGACGGGCTGTGTTCATGTTTGGCCCCTTGAGAAGCGCCTTTGAGCCAGGTGACTACATCTACTGCCGCGGACAGCAGAAACATGTTTGGCGTCCGAACCTGAACAGTGTGACGACAATTCAGTGTTTCAATTGCAACTGAACGGTGTACCTCTCTCAACGCACAGGGTGTGGCATCTTTTGCGTAGAGTGTAATTATAGTAGCCGCTGGATCATATGGTGCAGGTTGTTGTAGTTGCCTTTCGGTCAAACGATTACAACACACTGATAGAGGCCCCTACCCAAATAGCAATGGCCTCCAACTAAGAAGCGATGGCCTCCAACCTAATGGCGACCTCCAAAGAAGGTTTATCCCCACATCTTGGGGGTCGGACTGACGGGCAAGGTCACAAACTGAGTGAGCTCACCAGCTCCAGCAGTTGGGCACGGATCAGCGCCACTGGGGCAGAGTCTGTGCTGGTGCCCAAGGCCGAGCCCCATTCCCGGCCGAAAAGGGATGAAAAGGGTGTGTTCGGAATTTAGCTTGAGAGGATCCAGAGGATCACTTCTGGGATTTGGATGGTTTCACCAGATTGCTTTAAGAATCGTTGCGATGCTTCTACTGCATTGTTTGCAGTTTCTTGAAACTTGTTCTCGTCAGTTAAAGTGTCAGACTGTCAGACTATGATCAGTGCTTCTGTTTGGCTGCGCGCAGGTGAACAAATGCCGAGGGGAGCTTTTGAACAGAAAGAAGGACGATGTTGTGCCTTGCTTCACACCACCTTTGGATGTTACATGTTACATGTTTAGAACGTTCATTCGGACGTATTTTTCAAAAGTGATTGGTGTCCAAAGAAGTGCCGAATCCATCCAACTTCAGATCTTGCGCAGAGCTTCAAGCTGACGAAACGATGAAATTACAGCGAACGCACTGAATGCAAAGTGAGGCATGCGATAGCATCAAGGATGACAGCTGTGGCAACTTCTATGAGCCACTTGGCTTTCGAAGAGGAGCTTGTAAAAAGTTTTTTTGAGCCTAGGCAGTGAGCGAGAAGCGATTGGAAGCGAATTTGTTCTCTTTATATGTGCCTTGTGACCCATTGAGCCAAGGAAAGTGGGTCACACAGATGTGTATTTCCAATGCACACGAAGCCCTGTCTCACCCATCTCTGAAGAAATGAGCTGCCTGGCGCAGCAGCATTGTTTGCTGGAGCCATGAGGCAAGCCACAGTCAGCCACAGCAAAAAGTAGAGCATTGTGGGCTGACCGTTGGGAGTAGCTGGCGTTTCAGCAAGAGTTTGAGTATAGACTCATGACATGTTTCACATGACCCGCATCGAGGCCCATTTTGGCACAAAGCGCGAGTGATGTTTAATAATTGAGAGCTCTTCAGCTTGTTTGAGTTGATCGTTGTGGATAACGTTGCTTGCTGGTCTCAGACGGTCTCAGAGCCTCAGCTTTCTCTTTTTGGGGTCCTGACTGCTGGTCTCAGTCCAGTTCTCGCTGCTTCGCTGATTTGCTGCCTCGCTGCTTTGCTGCTTGGCTGCTTTGCTGCTTCGCATCGTGATAGCTCTCTTGGCCTGTCACGTCTTCTCACAGGATTGTTATTTTTTTGGCTCGTGACGGATTCTCAGCCTTTGCCTGCTGTTCCTTGAACTTTGTTAAAACCACGCTGACTCAGAGTCATTTGGATTCACGTCCGGGTTGCCCACTGAAGTCTTTGTATTTTCTAAGTAAGCATTGTACACTATTGTATATATACCTCTTTACCTCGCACGTTTGGCTCAAGGAAAAAGTTTTGCACTGTCGGCTGTTAGCCTGTAAACATAGGTTATCAGCCGTATAGCTATAGGCCCGTAGTATCACTCCGCGTCAGTTGCTGCCATGGATATGTCACTGGATCCAGCTGCACTCGCGAGGCTGGCGGCACCGTGCAGCAGTACGGATGGGCGTGAGGGCGCGGGTGGAAATACCGCCGCATTTCATCTGCCATTGATGGACCCTAATGTCTCGTGTACACCAGACAATGGATCCACTATGTCTACGGCTGAGTGGGGTGCGGCCGGTGACGCCACGCCGATATTCAATCAGGCCAACTTTTCTTTTGTGCATACACCGCCTGCAACGGTTGCCGGGATGATGAGACAAGCGTCTCAGAATCAACAGCTCGAGGGACAACGCACAGAATTAATGCTCGCAGCGAGTCGGCTCCGCGATGAAGCTGATGAGGCTTTCTGTGACACTGTGAGAATGAGGAGATGAAGGTCCAAGCGAGGGCATTCATCAACGCTGCGGAGGCCGGATATCAAACCATGCAGGAACAAGCGCAACCACAGTTCATGGAAATGGGTGGTGTCCGCCCTTTCCCGCTGGCCATGTAGCATTTCTATTCATTGGTCTCCCAGGTCTGTCGCTGCTGGTGTCCGCCCTTTTCCGCTGGCCATGTAGCATTTCTATTCATTTGTCTCCCGGTGTGTCACTGCTGGCCGCCCTTTTCCGCTGGTCATGTAGCATTTGTATTCATTTGTCTCCCAGGTCTGTCACTGCTGGTGTCTGCCCTTTTCCGCTGGCCATGTAGTATTTCTATTCATTTGTCTCCCAGGTCTGTCACTGCTCATTTCCGCCCTTTTCCGGTGGCCATGTAGGTGGTGGTGTCCGCCCTTTTCCGCTGGCCATGTAGCATTTCTATTCATTTGTCTCGCAGGTCTGTCGCTGCTGGTGTTCCGCTGGCCATGAAGCATTTCTATT